CCAGAACCACATCCAGGGTACCAATGATTGTTTCTATGACTCTGTGTCATAGACATTAAACTGGTACCACTATGAGACATCCCATAACACTGATGCTACCAGCTGCTGACAGAGGACATGAACAGAACCAGGTCCAGTGTTCAGACTGAGACACCTGGATGGATGTAGAACTGATCTGGTATCAGGTTCTACCAGAACCCAGATGCGTTCTTCCTCCTAAATGTCATGTGTCTGTCTGCTGTACTGATGAAGTTCTGAGGCTCAGTGATCAATCTGGACCCTTCTCTGTGGGCTTCAAGGACCTGGAACTCTGGAACATTCACAGTCTGAAGGTAGAACTCTGGTCAGTAGATAAAGGTTCTGCAGATCCAGAACCAGATGTTCTGAGGAGGTTCTGGTTGGTTTTAAATGAACAATCCATCAGCCTGATCAGAAAGTTACCTGCTGCAGCTGTTGGACCTCCTGCTGCTGGAACAACAGCTCTGATCTCTGCACCTGTAACGCCCTGACGACAAACAGCAGAAACAGCGAGTTAAAACCAGCTCTGAGCCTCCTCGGTTGGACCTTCTGAAACAGAGGGTTGCCGTTCACCTGCCGACGGGTGACCCTGCTGGTGGCAGGTCCTGCAGGCTCGGGGCAGAGCCACCACCTTCAGCCCCTCCAGAGAGGCTCTCCGCTGGCTCAGATCCACCAGGAAGGAGCTCCTGTCCTGGGCCAGAGGGAAGAGCAGCAGCAGCTTCTGCTCAGCCAGCAGCAGCTCCACACAGTGACGCCTCCTGGAGGGTTGACCACAGGTTTACAAAGGAACTGGAAGAAGAGTCAAAGTGATGGATCTGCAGGAGCTACAGACTGGCTCACTGTGAGTCCATCAGTCTAATCCTCTCTACAGCTGATGGTGGAACATCTTCCTACAGCTGATGGNTCTACCTGTCTGGTTCCTACCTGTCAGTTCTCCTACCTGTCGGTGTTGTTACCTGAGTGATGTGTCAGCGTGGAGGCGGAGTCCTCCAGCAGGAAGTAGATGTAGTCGGTAGACAGCAGCAGACAGCAGGTGAGTTCAGCTTCTGGAGATCTATAAAGAACCACCGACAGCCACAGAACCTGCTTCAGCTCCTCCGACTCTGACTGGTTTAAAAACAAAGAAGAAGAAACATCTGAGCGGAGACACCTGCTGGAGGTTCTTCTGCCTCAGTGAGAGAACAGACTTGGTTAGAGCTCCATCACAGCTCAAACGTCATCACCTGAAGGTCCAGTTCATCTAAAGAAGCCCAGTAAGACGAGAACATCCCTGCTTGTGTTCTATTGTGAGTTCAGTAACAGAGCTGCAGGACTTTATGTTGCAGAGAAACATGAACCTCAGCGAGTGAAAACACGTCTCCTCAGTTAAACAGGAAGTTTGTCCTACCAGAGCGATGAATCTGTGGAAGTAGTTCAGCAGCTGCTGCCCTCCGAGCCCAGCCAGGAGCTTCAGTCCAGGGGAGAGACCCGGCAGGAGGTGAGGGGACGGATGGTTCTCCTCCACCTGGAGCCGGGAGGAGTCCCAGCTGAGGAGAACATCTCAACATCAGCAGCACGACAGAGCAAGACCAAAGACACCTGTGAAGGTCAGTGGGTCGATTCTCAGCTTCGGATTGAACAAGACTTCCACTCAATAAAAACTACATTCTGTGACTTCAGCATCTTCAGTGTGAACACGTTCTGGTTTCTGTCGTCCTCTGTGACAGAAAACTGAAGATCTTTGGACCACCACTCAGTGACCTCAGCGGGTTTGAGTTCTGGTGTCAACTCCTGTGTTTTCTATGGGCCAGGAAGTGATGCTGCAGAAACAATCAAGTTGTCTTCATGTCAGGTTTACATGCTCAGTGTCCAGTCTGACTGTATTACAGAACTGTTCTCCTCAGAGTGGACCCTGTCTACAGACGGTTCTGGTAGGTTCTGGAGGTGAAACGGATCTTCCATTATCTAGAACTGGTTCTGACCAACCACCATCACACATGCTGATATGAGCCTGGAAAGTTTACCCAGAATGCACTTTGTAAACCAGAACCACATCCAGGGTACCAATGATTGTTTCTATGACTCTGTGTCATAGACATTAAACTGGTACCACTATGAGACATCCCATAACACTGNGTAGTGTCTGTTACCTGTGCAGGTGTAGTGTCGGTTACCTGAGCAGGTGTAGTGTCTGTTACCTGTGCAGGTGTAGTGTCGGTTACCTGAGCAAGTGTAGTGTCTGTTATCTGAGCAGGTGTAGTGTCTGTTACCTGAGCAGGTGTAGTGTCGGTTACCTGTGCAGGTGCTGGTGAACTGGGAGTAGAAGTCCTGGTCGGAGGGTTCTGGAGGAGGAAGCTGCTGCTGCAGACTGAGCGCCGCCATCAGCTCCTGCAGGAAGACGCTGGTCCCGTAGCTGTCCCTGCTGAGGCAGCAGACGACGTGTTCGGCTGATCCACCTGAACACAGTCAACAGAAGGATACAGTCATCACTGATATGTGACACAAAACTAACACAAAATCCTGTAGAACAACCAACATGTGACTCAAAATGAAGACAAAAAGACATGAGGCAACCAGATTGTTGGAAGTACAAACGGTGGTTTCTAGTTTCTTTTATTTTTTCCTAAAATAAATAAATAAATTGCGTCATTTTTGAGTCCATACTGAGTAAAATGAGAGTCTGACGGCTGAATCTTGTCCAGACTCTGAGTCAGTGGACCCACCTACGACTCTGAAGTACTGGTCGAACAGACCCACGTTGACGGCCAGCAGCTCAGACAGCCTGATGGACAGACAGCAGACCAGGATGGACTCTGGATCTCCACCATCGGACACGTCCAGCACTGACGAGTTCAGTCAGAGCACAATAATACAGAGTTCAGTTAAGCCCAACGGCTACAGACACATTTATACCTGTTGCTGTTTCTACCTGTCTGGTTC